GATTCTATTTGCCCAACCGTATCTTCATCAAATCAGCCACCTAGGAAGAGAGAATTACAATTGGGAGGAAAAAAGAAGCAGCATTTTCCCCTTGATGCCAGAAGTTTCTAGAAGTTGACACCTGTTTCTGTGTCAAATCTCCTATGAAAATCAGAAAGTCTCTGAAGAAACTCTGAGAAACAATCCTTCTGGTCCACCAGGCTCAGGTTAAGTAATCCCTGTTTTGAAAGATCCAGTGTTTTTCTCAAAAAAAAAAAAAAAAAAAAAATTTCCCCACCCAGGGCCCCTGGACTCTCCCCTCAGTTAGTGGAGTTGGCGACTGTGATGAGACTTGTCCCCCCAGCTGTGATCACCAGGGAATAAGGGCCGCTCTCCAACACTTTGTGGCTTTCAGGCTTTTATGAAAAGAAGAATGGGCCTCGGAAAAAGGAAGCTAAATGTATTGGACATTTGCCTTGAGCCAAATCATCTTGCTAAGTGCTTTTCATGCATTGTCCCACGGGTTCCTCACAGACTCTTTCAGAAAAAGTCATCCTGACATTTTCATCAGGTCCACTCTACAGTGAGGAGATGGTCCTTGAGGTATCCAGTTACTTTCTCAGTCCTACAGCATAAGTGATTGCACCAGAATTTTATCCTCTTTTGTCTCCAAAGCCAGTGAAAGCTCTAAGGACCAGGCCTGTACCTCCCACCAGAACACATGCCCTCTGGGGATGAGCTGGGATTTGACCTCTGCCTTGACCTCAGGACAGAAGTGTGCATACTGAGTGAATACGAATGTGCTAAGTCCCTTCGGTTGTGTCTGACTTCTTGTGACCCCGTGGACTGTAGCCTCTGTCCATGGGATTCTCCAGGCAAGAACACTGGAATGGGCTGCCACGGCCTCCTCCAGGAGATCTTCCTGACCCGGGGATCAAACCTGCATCTCTAATGTCTCCTGCATTGCAGGCGGATTCTTTACCACTGAGCCACCAGGGAGACCCACTGAGTGAAGAAAACCTGCTAAATTCTACAGTGTTTGGCTCGTCTCCAAGTCACACTTGTCTCCTGTGACAACATTTGATATGTTCCCTAAATTTGTTGTCAACTGGCAGTTCATTCAGTGGCCTGGTTATATTCAGGTTAAACATTTTGGAAAGAATATTTTCTAGGTGATGTTCAGGTCATACCATCACTTGGAGGACTGTGATGTTGGCTTATGTCTCTCTTAGCGATGCTCAGACTGACCGCGTTGTTGAGGGGTGTCCGTGGGATCTCACCTTGTAAAGCTAGGCTTTCCCCTTGTGAGAAGTCAGAAATCTGTGAGGGGATATTCTAGCACCAGGCAGGATATTCTGTTCCAAACATTTCAGAATGGCTTTAGAATCATTTGACTCTTCTTGCTTATACCAGTTATTTCTTTCAGAACTGCAGAATGGTGATTCTGCAAGAATATACACATATACGTTTGGTAGCATTAATCTTATGAAAGAAGAGCTTGGCAGTATAAACAGGAAGTAAAACTATAGTTTCTCAAAAAACACAGAGTTAATGCTTTTTTCCCCCCGCTTCATTTACCAATATTCAGAGTAAGAAGTTGGTGTAAAGCCACCTCCAATACTGGGAAGTGATTCCCCCCACCCTACCACCTCCAATGTATCCCTATGGACTCATTCGTGCCTGCTAAGTCGCTCAGTCATGTCCGACTCTTTGCGACCCTACGGACGGTAGCCCACCAGGCTCCTCTGTACCTGGGATTCTCCAGACAAGAATACTGGAATCTCCTGTATTCCAGGAGGAGGGGTTGCCACGCCCTCCTCCAGGCCATCTTCCTGACCCATGGATCGAACCCAAGTTTCTTATGTCTCCTGCACTGGCAGGCAGGTTCTTTACCACTAGTGTCACCTGGGAAGCCATGGATATTTATTATTCTATGAATTAGTCTTTGTTTTTTTTTTTTTTTTGAAGTTCAGATTGCCACCCATCTCCCATTTAGCCAGTGAGGTTCCATGATGATTTCTAGGACGTATTGACAAGATCCATTTAGTCTTGAAGTATTTCTGTGTTTTCCGGCTTGAAATTCTACCCCAGAATCACCATCTATTTTTCTTATCTGGAATCATTATTTCCTGCCTTGAGAAACCTTATCTCCTTATAGGGAAAAATGGTTTGTAGAGACAAAGATCTTGGTGCTAGGTAGGTTCATTGCCTATACACCCTTTCAGTAAGCAAAGCCAGGATTTTTAAAAAATATATGACTTGATACTTAAATTTAACATATACAAATGTTTTAGATTTTATAATTCTAGCTCCTCTTTTCTCTTACAGTAAATATCTTGGTTCCTGATAACATATTAACTTATTTTCTTTACCCTACAACATACATTAAAATATATCAAAATTACTATACCAATATAATTTCTATCAAGGAAATAACTAAGGGAAGTTTAAATTTATTTGCTGTTCAATTTGTTGAGGTGATAGATCTCACAGAGTATTATGTTCAAATGTCACTCAGAGCAACTCATTTCTGTGTAACTATTTTACCAACTTGATATGTATTTAGTTTTATAGATTCCATTTGATTTTTAGCTTTGATTTTCTTTTTGTTTTGTTCTTTTATATATAATTTTCCTTTTTGAATATATAAAGAGACTTTCAGGATTCAAAACTCAAAATTTTATAAAAAAGGGCCCCTCTGAGAAATCACGTTTTCATCAGTCTCTCTTCTCACTTTGTTCCTGCTCCCTTAACTCTTCTAGACAATCATCTCATTCATTTCCAGCTATCTTTGCAGAGTTTCTTTTTGTCAAAAATAAGAAAATAATACATTTCTCTGTATTTCCCTGTCCTTTTTACCCCCAAAGTATCATTCTATGCATACTGTTCTGCACTTTACCTTTCTTCATGTAACCCCACAAAGCAATACATAGAGACTTTCCTACCTTTTCCATGACTGCGCAGTATTCTATCACATGGACATGCCATCATTTGTTCACCCAGTTTCTTTTTAGTGATATTTGGATTAGTTCCAATAATCTACAATTACAGAAAGCGGCCACAATTAATAAACTTGACCACAACTGTTCTTGTATTTGTGGAGGTGTGTCTTCAAAACAGCTTTTTAGAAAAGAAATAATTTGGTCAAGGGCAAAAACAGCAGTTTTGCTAGATAATTCCACATTCTTCTAGAGTTCATATAACTGTGTGTTTTCTCCACAGTCTTATGAACAGAGTGTGTTCTTCCATATCTGCATTTTTTAAATTAATTAATTTATTTATTTTACTTTACAACATTGTATTGGTTTTGCCATACACTGACATGAATCAGCCACGGGTGTACATGTGTTCCCCATCCTGAACCCCCCCTCCCACCTCCCTCCCCATCCCATCCCTCTGGGTCATCCCAGTGCACCAGCCCAAGCATCCTGTATCATGCATTGAACCTGGACTGGCGATTCATTTCACATGTGATAATTTACATGTTTCAATGCCATTCTCCCATATCATCCCACCCTCGCCCTCTCCCACAGAGTCCAAAAGACTGTTCAATACATCTGTATCTCTTTTGCTGTCTCGCATACAGGGTTATCGTTACCATCTTTCTAAATTCCATATATATGCGTCAGTATACTGTATTAGTGGTATTTTTTAAAAAAAATAAGTAATAAATAGTATTTCCATTTAGCTTTAATTTGCTTTTCTGTTTTTATGATTGAGATTGCGTGTGTTTCATATTCGGAACAATCATTTGTCTTTCCATGCATTCACGCATGCTCAGTCATGTCTCACTATCTGCGGCCCCATAGACTGTAGCCCACCAGCCTCCTCCGGCCATAGGATTTCCCAGGAAAGAATACTAGACCAGGTTACTATTTCCTGCTCCAGGGGATCTTCCCAGCCCAGGGATCAAACAGGCATCTCTCATGTCTCCTGCCTTGTTATGGGGGATTCTTTACCACTAGCACCACCTGGGAAGCCCTGCTTATCTTTATTTCATTGGAAACTTTATGCATTTGTGTTTATTTTTTAAAACTGGTTTATGACCCTTTTATGTTTCCTTTTTAAATCACTTTTTATGTCTTAGGAGGTTAACGATTTGTCTTAGATTTAATATGTAAGTATTTTCTCCCAGAAAACAAAGAAGGAGAATGTAAAAAGCACATGAATAGGCAGGAAGGGGTGGAGGGAAGAATAGGTGGAGCATAGAGGATTTTTAGGGTCTTGAAACTACTCATGATACCACAGTGATGTATATGTGTCATTACGCATTTGTTCAAACCCACAGCAGAAGCGACACCCAGAGGGAACTCTAATGTAAACCATGGACTCTGGGTGATTACCATACATCAGTGTAGGTTCATCAGTTGTAACAAATCTACTGCTTCAGTGGAGAGTGTTGGTCGTGGGGAAGGCTGTACATGTGGGGGACCTGGGGGTATATGAGAAATCTCTGGATGTGCCCTCAAGTTGGCTGTCAACTTACAGTTGCTCTAAAAAATCAAATCTTCTAAAAAATAATTTAAGAAATCACGTGAATTTTGAACACAAAATGTGAGACTTAAATTGCTTTCTCTGTTAGGGTCAATGCTAAGTAAGGGACACACCTTCCCTTGCAATACTTCAGAGGCTGCTTGTAACGTGGACCTTATTGCAATAATGAGAGCTGCCTTTGGTCACTGAACACTTACTCCAAGCCTGTGGCTGTGCCAAGCACCAGCTCCATGGAATAGTCCGTATTGTTCTCTTTTTGCCCAGGAGGAAACTGAGCCACCTGCAGAAGTCAGGGAGTAGGCCCAAGGCCATCTGTCTGGTGTGAGACAGAGATAGGATTTGAACCTTGGTAAATGGAAGCCCCAAATCTACACTCTTGCCCTCTGGGCTATTTATCTCCCACTTTAAGAAGGAGGTAGGGGATGAGAATGTCTGTGTTCCAATGAGAACATTTGCAGAGTTGATCTGTGGTCCAACATAGCAGCAGCCGTGTTGAAGCATTGTGGTGGAGAGTGACAAGCAGAAAGATGACGAAGGGGCCCTCCCCGGGCAGCTGGAAACATGGCTTAAAGGCAAGCCGTGTCCCTGTGGGCAGTGAGTGGGCAGTTCACCGGGTGTCCCTGCCCATCTTCTTGCTTTGTCAGTCACCCAGGGAAGCAAGTATGACTTTTACCCTCATTTTAGGAACAATTTTCCCTTGTCACTAAGGCCATGACTGGCAAATCCAGAACTCCTATTTCCAAACCAAAGCTGCTTCTAGGATCCATATTCATGTCCCAAGATCATTTCCCAAAATCTTTTCAGTGCTAGCGAGGCTCAGAGAAATTTACTGACGTTATCATATTTCATTCCATCTTGACAAAAATATGGAGGTAGGAGCATATATATGTGTATTTTTTTACCATTACTCTGCAAGTTCAACTCCGTTTTGATGAAGAGAAAAACTAAGTCTCAGCAAAGCTCAGTGACTTGCCCAAGTGAAATAGCTGGTAAAAGAGGGGCTGTGTTTTTAATCCCTGGACTTCTAATCCCTAATTTAGTAATCTTTCCTTCTTTGTACCATCTAGCTGTTTATTTATTTATGAAGTGGCTTAGTAAATTGTTAGAAGGTAAATAATCCTGCAGTCATTAATTGAGAAATAGAAGCTTTCCAGCCACTTTATAAATTCCTCCAGTGCCCCATTCCAATTATAGACCTCCCTCTTCCCCAAAGTTACTACTATCTGGCTTTGAGTTACAACACCACTTGGGAGTCTTTTTTTGGTCACTCAAGTAATCTTTAGATATTATAGTTTAGTCTTGCCTATATATATATATGTGTGCATATATGCACACATATGGAGAAGGAAATGGCAACCCACTCCAATACTCTTGCCTAGAGAATTCTGTGGACAGAGGAGCCTGGTGGGCTGCTGTCCGTGGGGTCGCACAGTCGGGCACAACTGAAGCAGCTTAGCATGCATGCATGCATTGGAGAAGGAATTGGAAACCCACTCCAGTATTCTTGCCTGGAGAATCCCAGGGACGGGGGAGCCCGGTGGGCTGTCATCTATGAGGTTGAAAAAAGCCAGACACGACTGAAGAGACTTAGCAGCAGCAGCAGCAGCATACACACACACACACACACACACACCATACCTCTTGCACCTTGAGGTATGCGAGATCTCAGTTTCCCAACCAGAAATCAAACCTGTATTCCTGCACTTGCCGCATTGGAGTCTTAACCATGGAGACCACCAGGAAAGTCCCGCCCATATACTGAAACAATACATTTTCTGAAGTTTTGTATAATCAACATCCTTTTCTTTTCCTTAAGATCTGTGTAATCATTGACCTATGGTTTCCCATGGATTGGACTTTGCTGACTGCATGATCACGGTGTACTTCAATATGCCCCAGCTCTCTGCATGTCCTGGAACTTGACAGATGAATCAGACTCAGGTTAGACACCTTTGGCAAAGACCACAAGTTGTGTTTGTTCATTAGGAGGAAAGAGGAGCTGGTTTATGCTCTTTTAAATGTTAGCAGTCATGGTTCTCAACACTTTGATCCTTTAATTCACTGGAGGTTGTATTATAGAAACATGACTCTACCATTTCATTTCGATGGATTCATGGAAGAATTTTCTAAGGAATATTTCCTCCACCTGCTATTTGGTCATCCACTTCCATAGTTTAATAGTCAAATTTGGATAAATTTTTATTCTTTTTTGGAAGCTATTTTCCCAGCTTCCAAGATGGTGAATTGATTCCTGTCATTTGTTCCAGGATTTAGCATTTGTTAGAGTTCAATTCACTGCAACTCTTTTTCTTATTGAAGCTCACTTGAATCATCCCATATTTGATCAGTGGAGGTAGTTGTAGCAGTTCCCTTGCTATCTGGTTGTTACGAGATGTTCCAAATTCATCTTACACATCTCCTGCTCCAGACCTGGTATCAATAAATTCTCTAAGTCTTAGTTGTCTTTCCTGGGAAATGATATTTCAGGAGCACAGTTTGGATTCTTGGAATGATCAGTGCTAAAGGATGTACATAGCTATAGCATACAGAATCAGAAGATCTATGCATTTCACCCCCAAATAAAGATATAATAATCTGTGAGTTCATACTGATATTTCCAAATTATCTTCAAGGCTACGAGAGAATCTAACTTGACCTTGACTATATGACATGCTTCCTCGGTGGCTCAGTGATAAAGAATCCACCTGCCGATGCAGGAGAGGCAAGAGGCTTGGGTTTGATCCCTGAGTTGGGAAGGTCCTCTGGAGGAGAAAATGGCAACCCACTCCAGTATTCTTGCCTGGGAAATCCCATGGACAGAGGAGCCTTGTGGGATACAGTCTCAAAGAGTTGAGTATGACTTAGCAACTAAACAACAACAACAATTTCATCTGGAAGTTTCTATTCTTTTACACCAAGTCTTGATTATAAAGGACACTGGGGACGATAAAGGTAGAATACTCCAAAGTGGCCTCATTCCACTTTTACACACTGGAGTTACATGATGACAATCCCAATACTACTGCCGACTGTATTTCGAAAAAAAATTTTATTTTTTCATTATGCTTATCCTCTAGCTATATTTCAGATCATAGAGCCATTGCATACATATTTCCCTTTCAGCTATTATTTAGTATTTCTTCTATTTCTTTAAGTAACTATATGTTTAATGCTCACTGACAGTCCTTATGTGCATGACTCTGATCATTTTGTTGTCTGAAGCTTTTTCCTTAGTCAGGTCCTTGGGAAGATCTCACATAAAAGCAATCTCTGAGCTGTTTTATCTTGGTAACCATTTGTCTGAGCTCTTTCTACTTGAATATCAGCTTTGCTGTATATAAAATCCTGGCTTACATTTTATTTCCTTAAATATCTTAAATATGCTACTTCATTTTCTTCTGGCAGGCAAACAAGCACTGGAGAAATCATCTGATAATAATATAATTTTATTTTCCTTATAAATCACATTTTATTTTTGCTTAGTTATCAGAAGGATTTTTTTTCTTAAAGTGAATCTAGTAATTTTACTAGAAAATATCTTCTTGTTGGTTCTGTAGCAATATCCTCAGATAAATGGTGTGCTGTTCGATGTGTAGTTTCAGATCTTTGTCTTTATTTCAAGAATGTTTCCTTGCCTTAGAGTGTACATAATTTATTCTGCATCCTTCCTTTAGATTTTTCTTTAGGTACTACTGTCTTTATTTTGGATCTTCTTTGCCTGTCTTTAATATTCATCATATTATCATGAATGTTTAAACACTATTTTATTTCTTTTTAATTTTAACCTACTATTTTTACTAAGAAATTATTTGCTTATTGATGCTTGCATCCCTCCTAGTTTAATCCTCATTTCCAATTACATGTAAAAAATTATTTTCAAGTGTTTTCTGAGTTATGTGGTCTCATTCTGAGTTTTTCTAATTCTGATTTACATTGTTCTTTTGTGTCTTATGCTGTTTGCTTCATGTCTTTCAGCTCATTTTAAAATAGGCTTCTTTTTTCTTAGTATGAATTTTTAAAGTGCTTTCATTGTCTGTAAAGATGCTATTCTGTTCCATAATCTATTTTTTCTTATATAACTCTGTATTGGATTTGATCCTGATTGTATTCTAGGTGTTTTTTTTTTTTTTTAATGAAAAATCAGTTTTTCTTAACTTTTAGAAGAAGGCTTGGAAGGAGGCTTGGCTCAAATATGGGGCTTCCTTGATAGCTCAGCTGGTAAAGAACTCGCCTGTAATGCAGGAGACCCTGGTTGGATTCCTGGGTCCAGAAGATCCCCTGGAGAAGGGAATAGCTACCCATTCCAATATTGGCCTGGAGAATTCTATGGACAGAGAAGACTGGCAGGCTACACAGTCCATGGGGTAGCAAAGAGTCGGACACGAGAGAGTGACTTTCACTTTGGTTCAAATATAACTTTCCTAACTTCATAGAGCTCCTTCACCTTGCAGTTTGGAGTCTTCAGGAATATTTCACTGCCCAGTTTTGTTGTAAATTTTGTCCGTGGGTTTTTATTTGCAATGCAGCTGCTGTTTTTATGCAGAGATTCTGGATAATTCCCCAAATATACTCCCTGCCATCTTCCCTAAATTGTATTTTTATTTTTGTAAAAATAAATACTATTGGGGTTCTTCAGAAAAAAATGGAGATTTATTATAGGAATTGGCTCATGTGTTTATGGAGGCCAATAAGTCCTGCCATCTGCCGTCTGCAGGCTGAAGAACCAGGAAAGCTGGTAGTACAATTCCATCCAAAGGGTCCAAGACCTGAGAAGCGGGGGCTGGTGGAGTAAGCCGTGGTCTGAGACTGAAAGGCCAAGAACCAGGAGCTCAGAGGAGGCAGGAGGAGATGGATGTCTCAGCCCAAGCAAAGAGCGCCAACCCCACCCCTCCTTTTCGTTCTGTTTGAGTGCTCAATGGACTGGATGATGCTCATGACTTTGGGGAGGGCTGGCCACTTTACTCAGTTTACCAATTAAATGCTGATCTCTTCCAGAAACATCCCAGGAACAGTGTTTCATCAGATACCTGGGTATCTTTAGCCCAAACTGACACATAAAATTAACCATCATAGAAATTATAAATTATGTCAGATGAACCAAGGATATGGAAACTAACACAACAAATATTGCATGACCACCATCCAGCTTAAGAAGTAAAGCATCACAGCTGAGGCAGAAACTCACTGGGGTACTTCTCAGTCACATTTCACTCAATTCCACACCAAATCTTAGCAAACTCCCTGGAGGTCACCACTAGTAGATACATAATTTGTAGTATATTCATAGAATAGAGAATACAACCATGAAAGTGAATGACTAAGACCATAGGTATCAACCTGGATAGATCTGAAATACTGCACAAGAAAATGCACATTTTTTATCTTTATTGGACACATATGCACACTCAGTCAATCAGTCGTATCCTCCTCTTTGCAACGCCATAGACTGTAGCCCGTCAGGCTTCTCTGTCCACGGGATTTCCCAGGTGAGAATACTGGAGTGGGTTGCCATTTCCTTCTCCAGGGGATCTTCCATGGAGGTAGCTGTTTCCATATCTTGTCCACTGAAAAGTCCTTTCCATCCAAGTGGGAAG